AAAAAAGTAAGTACTGTATTTCTTATCCTTGTTCTGTGGGCAGAAGCCATCCTTTGAAAGTGATTCACCTAAAGATGCTCAAGTTATAATCCACAGACCAGGCTGGCAAGGGTGATTAGGGATTGCAGCCTGTTGTGTGAGTAACAAAGTAATGCCCTTGCTGTCCATGTCCCAGGCTCTGAACGAGGTGTGTGATGAGAGCCCGAGTCCGAGAGAGTCTGAGTGCAGCGAGGAGGAGGGAGATCCATCCGAATCCGTCACCTTCAACTCCAACATTGACATCAGCAGGTAAAAGCCATCGGCCCTCTGTGAAGGAATACCACCTGTGGCAGCAGGTGCTTCTGTGCTGAGCACATGGGCCCTCTGTGAAGGAATACCACCTGTGGCAGCAGGTACTTCTGTGCTGAGCACATCGGCCCTCTGTGAGGAATATGGGGATTGTTTGATTCGCACTTTCTCAAAAGTCTTCTTTTGTGTTCTTGTTTTTGTTTTTCCATGAGAAAACAGAATGAAAAAAGAAAATATTAAAATGTCTGCTGAGGGTCATGCTCTGAGTGTATAGCTTTGCTAACCCTTTAGCTGTCCTCTGCCCTATGGTCCCAGATACAGCCGTTATCTCCAGGAGAAAGAGACGATCGGTCAGCAGGGGAGGCCTGGCGATCAGCAGCACAGCCTTTCACATGCGCCTTTGGCTGCTGGTGCACCCAGGAGCCCTCACACTCCCCTTCCCACAGCGGTGCCCTCCGGGGAGCGGGCAGGTAGGTGTGCCCAATAAATTGCTGCTCTTTCAGCTCGGGACATCACGTCAAAAACGGGGTTAAGTGTCAGTACTGTGTCAGTGCAGAAACAAAAGACTAGAGTGTAACGGGAAGTCCAAGGGTTGCCTTTCCCTTAGCTTCACTTTTACTGATTTTAAAACCGCCTCCCGTCAGTGTAATGTCGTGAAGTGGCAGCTGCTCTTGACCAGCTGTTGGGTGCTGGTGCTGGAGTGAGCTCCTGTGCTGTGTGTTGGAGCAGCTCTCAACGCCACGGCTGCGGTCCAGAGAGTGCGGCCCAGACGACAGGCGGCGGCACCGAGCCCAGCCTCCCCGCGGCACTCCCCCGCCCTCGTCACGCACGTCCTCAACCCCCACCCCCGACCCCGCAGCAGGGCAGGTAAGCAAGAGGGGCTGGCTCAGCTCCCCCCTTGTGGGTTCAGTGGAACGAGCATAAGCTTTGTGTGTCGTACGGTGTATCTGGACAATGCGGGATTCAGGGCTTGACCTTTAGGATGCGCAGTCCCCTTACTGTTTATGTTTAAATCTGTGTTTAATAAAATGATAATAAAGGGACTTTATTACAATGTAATAACATGTAATGTAAAAAATGTGTAATGTGTATGTAAAATGTAATCGGTAATGTGTTTTTCATTTTGGGCAGATGAGTAAATAAAGAGCAGAGTAACTGTATATCCGTGGTATGTGCTCATTTTCATTTCGAGTGCCCTTCCTAACGGGACTTTGGTTGTACAATGTGTAGGTAAGAAGAGCAAACCCCTGGGCTCCAGTCGGAGGCGCTGTGAGGAGCCCCCAGGTCTGGACAGTTCGGCAGTTGCCGCTCTGAGCAGCAACCAGTCCAGCCTCGAGCTGCTGCAAAGCATGCTGGGTGAGGTGGAGCAGGAGCTGGAGTCCTTGGACCACCAGGATCCCCACAGTAGCGTGGCCCCACCTCACAGAGCCCCGGGACTGACTGGTTTTTCAGTGTCCTTGGTCTCCACGCTGCGTAGGCTGGCCCAACACCTCAGACAGGTACCGAGCCTTTCCGATTACAGCACTGGGCTGGGAGTCTTGACGGGGGCTGTGTGAAACGTAGCTGCTTGGGTGCCAACAAACGGAGAGATCGGATATTATTGTTGTTGATTGTTGGATGATGGTCCATCCACAAAGCGGGAGTTCGTTTAGTTGTTACGAGCGTATCAAGTGCGGTTTTTGAGAGGCATGAGGTGACCGTGCTGTGTGCCCTGGCTAGAGTGACCGTGCCCTGCAGGGGGAGATGGCACAGAGGAGGAGGCTGGAGGGCGAGACGCGAGAGCAGCGCAGTCTGATCGACGCCCTGACAGCGGAGGCTCTGGCCCTGAGAGAGGAGAACTCAGCCATGCAGGTACATCGCGGGCTCGCTACATCCTGAAAGACCGGGGGCAGAACTCTTCTGCCCAGGTTTACTTTTTATTGTGTTACGTTTCCTGACCATTAACAGTTTCTTTTATTTGATCGTAGAAGGGTTGCTCTGGATTCAGCATCAACACAGAGATTTTACAGTGTTTACAATTTTTTTTTACAATGTTTCTTAGAGAAAACAAACATGAATGTCCTTGAGCTTCATTTTCATCCAGTGGTTTTTTTTTCTAACGCTAAACCTCAGGTGTGGTGACCTCATGTCACTTAGCAGGTTATGTTTAGCAAGCCTAAACTGGCGTAATTAAATGGATTCCAGGCCCAATGGATGGTGTCTATTACTTTCTTCAGGTGAAGCTGCAGCAGCACATTGCAGCAACAGAGCAGCAGCTGAGCTCCGTGAGAGAGGGGCTGAGAGCACTGGGAGTGAAGACAGACTCTGAAGAGCCACAGTCCAGACTGGCAGCTGACACTGCTGCCATTGGCACACAAAGCACAGGTACTTCAGTGTAGTACCCCAGCAGATTGATCTTGACTTACAGAACAGCTGCCCACACTGATCTTCTTTAAGTCACATATTTTTCATTAACCAAGTGGTGTAGTTAAGTGTTAGTAGTGTTTCGAGTTAATAATTGTACTGTGCACAAAATATACTTTAGGTCATTGTCATGGTTTTGTTGAAGCCAGCTTTGACGGTGTTGATTGTTTTCTCTGTTTGAGCCAAATGTGAGGAGCTGTTTCATTCGATCGCTGTCAGATACAGTAGTTAGCCCTTCATTTTGCCCTCGCCGTGTACGGCCACACCTGTAACGTGCTGCGGTCTTGGTCCTTGTGCGTGTTTGTTTGTGCTGGCGGTCCCGTGTCAGACGGAGGGATGCCAGTACCGACCGCGATCCTTCCCGGGAACGCGGGTCCGGAGCAGGGGCCCTCCGGCACGGTCCTCCCACCACACCTCTTTCACCCCGCCGTGCTTTTGTCACCCCCCCGCCAGAGAGACAGCCTGCCCGCCCGCACGGCACCGTCAGGTGAGGAGGGAGAGGCCGGGAAGCTCCCGCCTGTCTGAAACATGTAGATAATGGGGTCTTCCTAGCTTTTGTGATTCACTCACCAATATTACAAGTTCCGTTTATCTGGACATGTGATGCTTAGCATTCATTGGTCTCCTGCTTGGGGAGTTAATTCTGTTTGGCTTCAAAAACATACTGATTAAATTATTATACATATCCCTTGTTTTATTCTGGGTTGTACTTAACAGTTGCTGCGTTCTAATGTAGACATCTGACAAAGTGTGGGATAGATTCCTTACAAAGCTTTGGAATAAAACACTGCTTTGATTTGTTAAAGGATTTTTTCCCCATTTGATCACTAATAACATAATTCAAATCTGCTTCATGTGTTTCCAGTCGTAAGAAATGTCTTCGCAGAAAATCGGGATCCGCCCCTCAACGGACAGGGCAGTGGCATGGGGCAGTCGGGACCAGACAGACAGGTGGTGCCCTCTATGGAGGAGGTTACTTCCCAGCGACCCCGGGACGAGCTGGAGGAGCTCAGCGTGGCATCCTCCTTCGCCAGCCTGCCCAGCTCCAGCCTTTTCCCCAGGACTGGGCTCCACAGCGGAGCCATCCCAGAGAGTCCCAGACCCGAGCAGGCTCCCGCCGGGAAAGCAGAACTCTCCCAACTTCCGAGTTCTGCGCAGAAGCAGGAGTCCTTGCTGGGCCACATCACGGAGCTCAGCAGACAGAATTCTCTCATCCGGGCGCAGCTGGGGCAGTTCAGATCCCAGGCAGCTGAGGCCGCTGTGCCCCAGGAGAACAAAAACACAGCCTCAGCACCTGCCAGGAAGGCATGTGTGGCCGAGGAGCATGGAGGACAGGTTAGACGCCCTGACAGGAACACTTCCTCAATAAGTGCACTCTCATGGATACTTAGTCCTGAGTCTACTATGTAATATTCTCAACTTTTGAATGTTTTTAATTGCCCCTTGGCTACAGACCTAGTTCTACAAGACAGCTGAACTTTAAATTCAGAATAATGTCAGTAGTCGCATGCTTCACCAGTGGAGAATTATTTGGTCCCGATTGAATTGACTTCCGTCATCCTGACAGGAGTGATGTGTTTTTTTTGCTTTCAACCCAGCCACCCCCTGC